TCATAGTTTAAAATGTATGGAAAAATTATATTTATGACATCAAAAAATTAAAAGTACAATATTTTGATTAAATCAATCACAAGAAGTTAAAATTGTTTCATACATTATCAATTTTATTAACTTTAAGGATGCAATAAAATCTTGGTATGAGAATACTTGAGAAACTTGAAGGTGTATGATTGTATTAGTTTTGGATCTAACTAAAAAGTTAATGATAGTAACTTTAATTAACTTGAGCAACTTATGACTAATTTTAGCTATCATTTCATTCTTCACATAATATTTTAAATCATCCAAAATATTGGATGTGAGCAAATTCATTTTGTTTGCTATCAAATTTCTACTTTGATTACATATTATTTATTAGGTTGATAACGTAATAAAATTTTCATTGATTGGACTAATTCTAAAGTTTAAGTTAATGTCAATTTCTCATGACATGTCACATCAAATCACTCGTATGTCAAGACAAAAAAAACTTTTAGATAGTCTAGGCAAAACAATGACATGTTGATATGTAATATTTTCATGACAATTTATCATTCTTAACAAGATTGATCTTCATGAAATTAAGTCAGTATTAGTTATCATGATAATTTTTAAAATTATGATTTGAGCTAGTTTCACATGAAGAAGAAAGTTTTTCTACCAAAACATCTTAAGTTTATTTGGTTGAGAAATAAAATAATTTGTTTTATATAATTACTATTTTAACTAATAGAAATCATATCAACTAAAGATAATCAAGATCAAAGTTAATACTTCATAAAAAGAAGATGTAACTTTAACCTTTATTTTTATTTTTATTTTAATATTTAAATATTAGTAAATTCATCAAAAATTGAATTTTTATGATGAGTCTATGCATAATGCATAATATGCATGATTTTTATGAATTTATATTTAATATTGTCATAATAAAGAATTTTTTAAAACATAAGTAAATAATTTTTTCATAATCATTTTTAAATTTATTTTTCAAAACATAATTAAATTACTTATTATTATTTTAATTAGAAAAAAATCCTTTTTTTCCACAAAAATATTTATTCTGAATATATATTTTATCCTAAAACTAATTTTTTCATCTTAAATTTATGAAAAGTGTTATTATTTTAATTCAAAATTTTAATTAAAGATTACAAATAAATTCGTTGGGTTTATTTGGTAGAAATTCATCACATAATTACTACAATAATGTATGATTCATCTCAACAACATCACTTTTAAGAAACATGGATTTTTATGTTTCAAATCTTTATTTATATTATCAAGATCAAATGACATGCATCTTATGCATCAATAGTTGCCATGACTTTTGTTTTTTTCCCTTACTATTATATCCGCATTTGTGCTTATTATTACTTATTTGAGATTTTTATAAATAATATGGTTATGATTCAGTTATTTCTTTCTTTCACATTCCATTATTGATGATTATTGGTTTATTTTCCTGATTTTTTAGATAATTATATATTCCAAACTTGATCTTATACTTATGATTTTTAATATACTAGAACATTTTAGTGTTAATTGATAGTGTTTTTGCGTTATATATAAGTTGAAATAATTTATAAAATTTGTATCATGTTAGTAAATATTTTAATTGACTTAAATATATTGATCATAGACTTATAAAATGAAAAAAATATAACATGCTTTAAATATTAAATAATATTTTATAATATAAAAAATCCGAAAAAAATCATATCTTAAAAGAAACAAACTTCAGGTCTATTTGAAATTAGAAAAATAATCACATAAAACCTAAAATTATATATTTATCATTTTCCGCTTACCATTTTTATTGGTGTAAAAATATTGAAACTTTTATCACATGAAAAAAAATTAACATGGATACAGGAATTGTAATTGCGCACCGTGTATTTTATATGGTTTTTGAAAAATAGTGATAATATAAATATTCTATATTCTATATTCTATATGTGAATAAAATTATAAAAATCATAAAACGAACACACAAATGGTTAAAACGACCACACTGAGATTAGAGACACTAAAGTTTGACAGGTCCCATCGCGATCACATGACCTGTCAAAATTGAATTTTATCGCACATATGTGTTGTCTGTATAACTATTGCTACTTTTTCATTACATTTCATCCAGCTGGTGTTGTTTTCAAACCAGTATTTGGGCTGATTTTACAAGATTCATGTTATCACCTCTTATCATCCTATCCGTCACTTGAAGATATGATGCTAAGCGTCCAAGCCTTCGCTTGCACTCAGGGCTACAATGTTACAAAATCTTTGTTCTTTCTAAACTTATCTAAAAATTCATACGGTGACGCGTCTGTGATCGTTTTAAGATTAGATGTGGTGACTTTAACATTTCCATAAAAATTATTTACATTGTGCAAATTTGCACTCAAATGTATCAAATGTATTCATCAATATTTGTAGATGTATAAGTTGTCATCAATGATTGATGAGATTTAGATCATTTATTATTCAGTAAGTTGTTAAAATCATCTGATTAAATTGGAAAATATGATTATTTTCTCCTTCATTATTTCATATATATTAACTAGAAGATTAAGGCAACATTTAAAATAAAAAGAGAGAAAATTCAATCATATATGTATATGATTGAATATATTCGTATAAAGTATTTAAAATACTATGAATTACTTAAATGATGTAGTGTTATTCAAAAATTAAAGATTAAACATTTTTGACAAAGAATTCACAAACGTCAAGAGTGACACAAATAATTGTTCATAAATAATACAGGTGCCATGCAAGAGGCAAATCACGCAAGTAAAGCTAGCAACTTGTGAGACTCTATAAACAAAAACAGAAACAAGGCCAAATGTCTTTTGGATCACAATTTGTACCAACATCAAGACATGTTAATAATTTTGCCATTTATAGTTTTATGATCAATAATATGTAACATGGTATATGAAAGATAATCATATGTGATGATGTTAATAATAATATAATGGTAGTTTCGGCCTTGCAACTAATAATAAATGAAATACGACTTATAAAATAAATATTATAACCACAAGAAATATGAATTTTTAAATTTTTTTTTTAAAAAAATATTACTTCAAATGAAGTATTAGAATCATAATATATGATATTGCTTATGACTATCTTTCGAACTCTATTATTTAAATAAATGGAGTACATCATAATATATAATGAAAAATGTTTCAGTAAAAGAAAAAAATCACTCGAGAACTAATATGTTTTTAGTGAACGTATTAATGAGTGTAATATAAGTCACAAAATTTTTATTTTTTATTTTTTTAATATAATTAGAAATTTTTTATTAAAATTTATTAAAAAATTCTAATTTAAAAATAAAAAATTATTCTTACAAAAATTTACATATTATATTATCTAACATAAATAAGTTTTAAGAATGCATTACAGTAAAAACATATTATACAGTATAGATATTGAGCTCTTCTGATTATCTGGAACAATTTCGTAAATTGGACAAACATATTGGATTTTACAAAGCACAATATAGATGCATCCCAACCAACTTCTCTAGTCATCTAAGTGTTGCCCCGTACTGGAATGACTTACAGCAATGACGCCATTCAGTAGTGGATGGCAATTAAGAACGACGTCTCAATACAGTGCATATTATTGGTTACTGTGGTCGAACGAAATACATGCTACCACCTAAGGATGGCTACCACACAGAGGGCTGTTGCGAGAACGCGCATGACGACATCTCCACGCGTCCCTTGCAGGGACTGAGAAGATCCACACGTGGCGAGCTTTGGAAGCCCCAAGAAATTATCTGTCGGGTGGACAAGAATGTTCATCAGCATCTTCCCTCGACTTTTGCAAATATATGGAGACGCTAATTTCGCCATCCGGTCTCCCAAGCGATGATGGTATTTTAGCTTTGATGCACGGTATTATCCAAGTGAGGATCCCATGTACTTTTCTAAGATCTGCTGGACTTTTGTCCGGCAAGAAGATGACGAGTCTGTGAGAAGGTCGTGGGGAAACAGAGCGATGGAAGGGCGAGGATTTCGGCCAGAAGATATCACGTAAACATTAGCTTATCTAAATATAATTTACATTCTCATTACTATCATTGTTTTCTAGATGATATAGAAAATTATTAAGATTATTAAAAGTGTTAAAATAAATAAAGATGATGGAAGACCCCATGACGTGGCGTAAACTGCGTAACATGGCCTAGCCCCGATAGCATACGTGTCCCATGCTAGTTTGATGCATCATGAACTCTATGAGGGTCAGATGATAGAGAAGTTCTTCCAGCAGTTTTGTTCGATCGAAAACTCACCAGAAAACCAGCCTTCCGTCTCACGACGTCAACTCCTGGACTTCATATTTTGAAATTACAACCCTGAACTACGGAATACACTAAGTAAGAAGATTATACATTATTCGACTCTTGAAGGGTCAAGAACTTAAAAGCGGGTCTGAATACTTGAGTGGCAGTCCTGAACGTGCCACGAGTAAACTAGCTCCTTAACCTCGATCATCTTGATCACACTAAGATATAATCAAATCCTAAAATTACATCCATATACTAGTGTGATGAAAATCGGTTGGGGCCTGTATAAAATCTAGGTGTAAACGTTACAGTATACGTGATTAGAGTTAAAACTAAAATTGCAAATAATTATCTTGTTAAGAAGGTAGGACATCCTGATTCTTCCAACTTAGATCAAACAAAAACTTTACCACTGCTTCAAGTGTGAATCTCCAAAACCGCTACACCTGTGGAGTTCGTTAGACTCCTAATTTTTTTATCATTATTCATTTGATCGATACCTACTAATTCTGCGAACTGCAGTAATTAGGATTCTTAATTGACAACTTAAACTTATTCATTCAATTGCTAGTTGAAAACTATTTCCATTAGACTACCACAGCTCCCCGCAGTAGACCGGGGACCGACAAAACCGGCCTTTCCAGTTTTGCCCATCCTTGGAAGCAGATTTAGGACCATGACTGATCCACTTCCGTGAAACGCTGGAGCTGGTAACTTCGTCCGAAGATTCCTCGGATTGGACGTCGTAGTTGGACCCATGCACTGCGTTACTCCCGCGACACTTACTGCGTCAGTCTCGCTGGTATAAATCGCTTGGCAGGCTAGGGAGTAGCACAGCACGCGAGCAGACGAGACGAGAAGAGAAGAGAAGAGGCGAGACGAGAACAGAAGAAGAGCGAAAGCCTAAATCTGCAGCAGGCCAGTGGAATCGACGAGAGGGTGCGTGAAATTTGCAGGAATCATGTCTCGAATTGCCGTAGGTGATAAAATTCCCGAGGGTGAGCTGTCGTACATTGACGAGGACAACTCGTTGAAGAAGCTGTCGATTGCCGAGTTCGCGGCCGGGAAGAAGATCGTTCTCTTCGGTGTGCCCGGAGCTTTCACTCCCACTTGCAGCATCAAGCACGTTCCCGGTTTCCTCGAGAATGGACCGGCTTTGAAGGCCAAGGGAGTGTCTGCCATCTTGTGCATTACCGTCAATGATCCTTTCGTTGTGAACGCGTGGTCCAAGACCTACCCCACGAACACTGATATCATCAAGTTTTTGGCCGATGGATCTGGTACTTACACCAAGGCTTTGGGTTTGGAGCTTGACCTAACAGCGAAGGGTCTGGGAGTCCGAAGCGAGCGATTTGCTTTGTTGATCGACGATCTCGAAGTGAAAGTAGCGAACATCGAGTCAGGAGGCGCCTTCGAGGTGTCGAGTGCAGAAGATATTCTTAAGGCCTTGGCTTAGATATCGTTTTGATCAGGAACATGTACATGACTGTGATATAGTCTCGTTGGCGACTTAGTTAGATGTGGAGTGGCTTACCCCTCTGTGACCATTTCGATTTTTGATAATGAAACACGTCTTCGAAGTGGCATTTTTATGTTAGTGTGCAATCCTAGCCCTGATTTGGTCCAAGTTTAACGCTTAACGTGAGTTACGTTAAGCTTCTTTCTCGTCTCTGCTATTCTGTTGGCGTTTGGAGCTCAGTAGGAGGAATGTCAGGTGGGAATATTGTAATCGCTCTTCTGAATGTTGCGCACCGTTGTAGTGGCCGCGATGCTGAACGTATCATGCCTTATTCTCTCACTGATATTATACATTGTTGAGTAGACTAAGTTCATTAAGAAAAAGTTGTAGGGGTTCGACCACGTAAATAACCTCACTCACAAATATGGTGAACTTGTGAAATGGAAGCTGCAAACATATGTCAAACAGTTGTGCCCAATCAATTTAGTACAGATGTTTTCATACATTTCACCATGTACCACTGATAAGTACTGAAATATTGTTATCACCGTACGTCAAAGTTAGGTGTTTCCCTACCACTACCCGACCCTGCTCTATACAATAAAATATTGTATGTACCCAGTTGTCATAATCTAACGTGCTCTAAAGAATAGATTCTCGACAGAAACAGCCGAGGAAGTACAATCCACGTCTGTTAAATACTCTTGGAAAAATTTTATCTGCAAATCTTACTAAATTACATTACAAATACAATAGTTGAAATTTATGTATCATTCAAAGCACAACATTTACACAACCTCCTGTCCATCCTATGATCAGTCAGATAATACTTCAGATTTAATCCAGTGCAACGGCTCGGCGCACCATTTAACATACTTCTTGCACTCTGTAACAAATGCTGTGCGCGTCCTCTTCATGATTCTTCCCATATCTGTCTATATCATTTCACACCTCGTTTCAGCTGCAACATACTTCTTTTCGTACTGTTGACACGAAAGTGGGAATAATGCGCGCTGGACATATGCACAACACTACCAAGTCATTGGGGAGTCAACAGCAGACATTTTGGGCATATTTCTGTTCCTGTTCAAATTCTCTATTTGTCCGATACACAACCAGGTTCCGCGTTTGGTTCCGCCAGTTCAGACGAAACCTTCGCAATTTCGAAGGTGCACGAGGATATTCCGAGTTATGAAAAGCCCTAAGTAGTTACTTTTCTCAAATGTACGGCTCACAACAGAAATTATTGAAAGGAGTCCACCTATCACCGACAGTAAGGACGACATGAATCTGGGATAAAAATTCGTATGTCAACCTTCAGGCCACTCGATCATACAACACACTGCTCGAAAACCGTTTCGAAGGAAATCGTATTCATTCTTACTGGTGTGAATAGCAGCAAGTGAACGCTGAAAGGTTTCACCCGACATTCTAAACGCACCGTCTAATTGCCTGGAGAAAACTGAAATGTGGAGATGTAAATAGACCAAAATTGAGAGCATCAAACGTGCACTACTGTGTACATGTTTGATGACAATAATTGATACAAATCTAATTGTCATATTCTACCGTCGGTAATTAAGAGACCCTTCATGAATACTTGAAGGAAGACGAACTACCTTGACGCCCCGATACAGTAACAGCGGGCGTAAAAAATTGTGGATTTAAGGACCATAAAGGAACTATCCAGCCTTCTTGGCTAGATTTCCTGGCTTGTAGGTCCCTTGCCTGGCGGCTACGAAGTCTGGATAATGGCGATCATTCATTCCATGCAGCCATAATGGAAATACATTTTCTCTTGCCTCCGTAGCAGCAATGTGCGGATAGATAACACTCTTCTTGAACTCATTGACAGCATCCTTGAAGTCTTTCAACGACAACTCCTCATGAGACGATTGAAACTTTCTGTTGTATGACGAATAATAACATTCCTCCAAAAACAGGCCCAGTTCCGGAGCCATTGGCACGTTCAACTTCGTATCTCTGATGATCAGATAATCCACAAGTAATATGTCGCACTAGATGAGTTAAAAAATCAAAAAGACAGTATGACGAACGTAGACAACCTGCGATTCTATTCGACCGGCGAGCAAACCACAGAATAAGGATCTGATAGCAAGACGACTCCGATGCCCATTGAAAAAATGTGCGCAGCTAGAGAAAGAATGGACGATGCATAACGTCAAAAGTCCACTACAAAGGACACTCTAAACAGGAAACTTTCGACAGCTCTAGCATGAAGCTCAGATGGTTGTCAAGAGGTTGAAAGGCTTTGAAATCCAAAATAATTTAAGCATGAACGAACAAGTAACGTACTTTCTCAAAGCGAAGTCCATGATATTTTCCGGAGCGGCACCCCTCATGATCGCTACGGCAAGACCGACCATCTTCCGAATCTGATGAAGCATGAAGCTTTGGCCGATTACATGACAACGCACGAACTCGATGCCATTCACTGTGAAAACATCCTCTGCTTCAAATGATAAGATGAATCGGTGGGCGCTGGGGTCCTCGGCTTGTGTCCGTGCCGTGAAGTTGTGGTAATTGTGAGTGCCTTTGTAGCGGGCCAAAACTCTATTCAACCGATTCATTTCGGACTCATCAAACCGATAAGCACTCTTCCCTTCCACCTGGGGTGGAGTAACTCCTGCTGCAGATTCAAGGTCCTCCATGACTTCGATTCGTGCACATACCTGTCCATCTACAAATTTCTCCTTCACATCAGCCTGTAAGACTGTCGGTCCATTTGGATGTTCATTCTTGTCCTCAACTGAAGTGAGTGTCTCTCCACTTCCACTTTTTGATTCCTCCGTTGTAATGTTTGAAATAACTACTATCTCATCTACAACCGTCTCCCTGACCTCGGTTGGAGTGACAGTCTCTCCACCGTCAGTTTTGGCTTCCTCCATAGCGCCTTCTGCGCCAATTTCGTTTGGTTTCTCCTTATCCTCTACTTTCAGTGCATTGACAGTTTCTCTGTCCAAGTGTTTACTGGGATCAAAGCAATACACAGGAATGATATACTCGTACCTCCTTTTGTCACAGAGCTTTTTCGCATTGAAGGATGCAGTAACTCTCTTGAATCCCAAGACGACGATATCCTTGGGAAGAAATGAATTTACCCGTTCTACAAAACCTTCAGGTTCTATAATAAACTGACCTGAAACAACTTGACCTATGGCACTAACTCCCTTGTCTGTTCTAGCAGCTCTCATCCAGTCTACCTTCCTCGGTACACCAAAATTCTCCTTCGATATTGCTCCAGCTCGGTAAAGAGCTTGTTCAAGCTCTCCTTCTATAGTGATGGCTCCAGGGTTGCGTTGCATTCCCTGGTAGGCAGCTCCACAATAGGCAACTATCATCGCAATTTTCCTCTTTTTCAACCTCTTCGTATTGCCTGCTTCACCTTCATCTTCACCTTCACCTGTCAAGACTCCTGTTGACGTCTTTACTTCTGCCCCACACAAGGGTTCGGAAGTCAGAGATTCTTCAACCTCAGCAGCACCTCCTGTTTCGGTTTTCGCGGCCTTGGGAGTCTTTTCGGACTCGTCCTCGGCTGCTGTCTCTACTTCTTCCCTGGATCTTTTCTTCTCATTCTTCGTCGACTCTTCTTCCATGGAGACTGTGTCGGTAGCATCGCCACCTTGGACAGGCACAGGAGAAACTACAACTTCTTCCATCAGAGCGTCGGTGACGGTGGTGACCTCCAAGGTAACATCGTCCTTGAGCAATGACTCCATCGGGCACTAATGCGCTGAACAACAGCAGCAATTCGCTCAGGGCATGCTTTAGGTAGATGAGGTTAAAACACACAAGATCACTTGTACCACTTCTCCGGTATCCTCGGGTTGATCATAGTGTGATGAGTCTACACCTCTCTAGAGCTCTTTCTTCACCTTCTTCTTGACCTTCTTACTGCTACCGCTGTCGTGCTCCTTTCCGTCTACGGCCCTGTCCTTCCTCTTGGAGTGGGAAGAATGTGATTCCTTGCCACCGTTCACTATTGGTTCGGATTTAACTTCTAGTTTAATATTCGACCCTTTGCTTTCCTGAATCACCTCCTCTGTCTTGCCATACAACTGACTGCGTTGCTTGTTGGATTTGTGCCTGGTGACTCCTTCCTCGATGGCGCTCGCGACGCTGGTCAAGTAGCCTCTCAGCAAACCTTCCTCAGGCAGAACTTCGCTGTTCAGAAAACGCTTGAGAAAACTCGAAGACTCCTTAAGCGTACAGGGAGAAGATGATAGCACTGTCCCCTTCACGGGCACCGACATCCTGCAAAAGCGCAAAAAGCACTGATTCCAATCCCTCCGTGTAGGCCAGTCCGATCATCCTACAATGGCATTACACACGGGCAATCCAAATCACTCAACGTGTTCACGCTCCACGTTTTTCGGCAAATCTTCGAATACAAAAACCTGCCCGAGCATTCTAGACACACCTTCGGAAAGATGTCAAGCTAATTAAAACGTCGGTCCAGCGGCATGACGAGGATTTACAGCATGGCTCGATAGCTACTCCTGTCAGCTTAAGAGGATAATGTCCAATGCACGATCATCCTATGCAGACTCGACAGACAATCTCAGGACTGCTGCCGAAGACTGTAAAACGACGGTCCAGACATAAGCTGCACTTCCTGTAATGAACTGTATTTCAAACAATATCTGCGAATCGCCAGTTCACGAACGCAGACGGAAAACTCTCAATCCTCATGTGTAAAATGTCCCGCGCCCGTATACTTCTAATTTCGACATCCAGAAACAGGGAAAATCATCTCCGAGGTACCGGGAAAATCAAATCTGATTGACCGAACCCAATACGAACAGATTGATGCACGCACAGAGTGCAGTACTAAATGAGCCCGAGGAATGAAGACATCGAATTTTCCACGCTATGCCGAAAAGCCAACACACATCACGACTGACAAAATTGAAACGTAAGCTTCCAAGCTGATGGAATTACGTACCTTGCGAAGCTTGATAACAAAACCCGACCCCCGCCGGGATCCGACAGTGGGTTGGAGCTAATCGGAGCGACTCCGGTGCTCTGGGGACGAAATTGGCACCGAACGGAGTGAAGGCCCTAAACCCTAAACCTTCCTTGAACCCTCCCGCCCGCCCCGGCCCAACTATCTCACAGTAACGGGCTCTGTACTCTTTGGTGCTGTACAGAACGGCGGTCCTGTACTGTACACCTCGAACTGCGCTACGGCACCGGTACAGTACATCAGCACCTGATCCTGGTCGACCACGAGAATTTCACTTTGTTGGGACTCTTGTCCATTGGACATGTAGATTAAACAAGTTCTTGTCCATAACGCATCTCTTCAAGATAGATTACTAGTGCAGTGTCACCGACCAAAGTTTCAAAGCAATGGAATTCAGAGGATTTTTATAAGTTTGGTACTTTAGCAACGTAGTTATGGAGTACCATTTTGATTTTGATTTGAATTTTTGTGAGTGCGAGATAGGTTATCACTTTTGACGAGAGATTTGATTGATGGACCGCTGCGGAAAGTAACTTGCTTGATGGGACCCCTCAGGTTTAGTTTTACTTGACGTGACCCTTAGGACTGTGTGCCGTCAGCCATAGTTCTTGTAACTATGATTGATAGTTACAATGCGGGGATTACAGTCAAAGATCTATCCCTAATTATAATTTTCTGGATATCACGAGGACAAAGATCGATTTTGCCCGAAGTGCAATTTGTTGTGCTTCAATTCTCATGATCGCATCGATTCACGGACTTCTTTGATGCCTCCCGCCTGCACCCTCCTTTCGTTACCTTGCGTATGCGTCGAGGAGCTCGTACCGGAAAGTGGTCCTAGCTCAAGTCTCGCTGTCACCCATTAGTGGCGTACAAATAAACTCCGGATGAGCATTTCTTTGCTCGTCACTGGGGGAGTGGATACACATTGACAAAATAAAAACAAGTGAGGGTGATGGAGGCGAAGTCCACTCTGTCCGCGGGTGTGGTTGACTCGTTATTAGAATATGGGTGACAGTGCATCGTTCATGGGGTCCCGTCGGGTAAAACGAAACCTGAAGTGTTCCATCAAGCAAATTACTTTCCGCAGGGGTTCCATGAAGCAAATCTCTCCACTTTTGACAACCCAGTATTGTTATCTATTTCAAACAGGGTAAACTTTTTCTACCCTTTTTTTTCATTTTTTTCAATAAAATTGTGTTATTTGTAAAAATTCTGTGTTTTATAAAGAACACAAGTTCTTGAGCTATCACAATAAATAATAAAACATATCATGATGCCTTCTTGATGCTGTTATTGCTTCATAATGCTAGTTCTTGTAAACTAGATGGTGTATGAAGTATTATCTATTGTAATATCATAAAAGCCAGTTCTAAGGGTTCAGTAATTTTCCCATCTTTTTTTAACTATCTGGCTCCATTTTACTTAAGTTGCTCACAAAATATCAGATTCTAGCATTTCTTAGTCATGATAGATATTTCATATTTCATATATATATATATATATATAGAATCTTATATGTATATAATAACGTCACATAGAAATTTCAGTTATATTTGTTCAAATCTGTCTAATTTGAGATGTCATTGCATTATTTAGATAAAATCATTTATAATAGAATCTGAAATACATTCTCCAGAGGCTCGTGACTTCACTGGATGTGAAATCAGTCTGCCTCTGACCTTGACAAGGATTCTCAAGCATGAGGCCTTAGAGACAACGTTATGAAGGAAGACACATGCTGGTGAAATAAACCAAAATCATTAGCTTTTGCTATATTGATTACATGATCTTATTCGATGATACACCATCATTTTCCCGATTGATTGGTCATAGCTTGCATATTATAAAGCACAGTGTTTTCGAAAGTGTCTCGACAAAGCAATTAGCTCAACCGAATTGCTGCTTAGATTGCCACCTTCACTTGGGTTAGAACCAATCTTAGATAAATTTTAGTTTCCAACGTAGATGATGAGTCGTTCGTATAATGAAAATTTCTTAAAGGGCAGACTGGAGTGACCAATTCTGTCTTTAATTTTTGGAGAACGCGCTCAACTCGACTACCTTGCTTCAGAAACTAATTGTCATCTTCGTCAACATCCACAATCAAACTTTGAATGGTGGAAGTGTGGACACCTGCTGGAGGATTGAAAAAGTTTGTGAAAATGTCACGAAATTAAGAGCTACTGCTATCGAACATTAAATTACTGGTGATACTCAGAACCAATTCAGAGGTTTCTGCCGACAGACAAACCGAAGATTGGTACTCAACGAAGGTGTGGGTGCCGGAATTCGAGCCTCTGTCTCCTGCAACGATGCGGTATTATTTCACATAACCTACAGCTGCCTGTACTCACGTCGGCCGAGACCTGGTCGCTCAGTCAGCACCCATCTGGGACAGGATAATGCAGACGTCATTAAAGTGGCATTTGCCACTTTTCCGTTAATTGTGGCACCCAAAACTTTTTAAAAGTGTCATTTGTGACAACGGTGAAACCTGACAGATTGAGGTTAACTCACGAGAACATTAGGGAGTGTTGTTTCTCCCTTGTGGCTAAGTCAGGTTCCGCCCTCCGCCCTCATGTTATGTTCAAGGGACCCCAAAAGCATCGAAAGCTCGCGAGAATTTACAAGCTTCTATGAATAAGACGCATGATTATTCACCGTAAGTATACTCAAAGCAGAAAGAGCTAATACTTTGAGAAGAAATTAATTCAAGGTTCTTGATTCTAACAATGAGGACATTAAACTTCAATTGAATAGTGACAACTTCCACAATCCAAGAGACAAGAATTGTATTACTCCTCAAAACCTCAAGGGAAGATGATTTACATCACCTGTCTTCAATCCTAGGATTGTAGAGAAACTTGGTTTCATGATCATAAAATTCTGGCATTTGAGTTTTAGAATACTTTCGTGGTGTATGAAATACCTTTTAATCCCAAAAATACATCCATCAGGTGATCATGCTTTATTTCAATTTGTGTCCACAATTGGCTCAAAAAACACAGATACATGGATTCTCTTTCTAGTCACTTGCTGACAGCAATGCGGCCTAATGTTTGTTTGATTGGGATAATAACATTTTTCCGTTGTCAATCACGCACTTCATAAATTTTAGTCAGTGCTTGCAGACTCTAAAAATTTTATGGCATAAAGTTCAATTGTAACCAAAGAGTAACTATAAACAAGTATATACAACTTTAATTGTAGCATAGGCCGAATTTTAATTGTGTCAAACGTGACATTTTTTAATAAAATGCCACTTTTAATGAGATCTGGATAGTAGGATACTGGTGCAGTTGGAGTATCTGCCCACCTCTTCGAGGATCGGATGGGCCCTATTTTGTCCGGAGTCTTGATAACATCAGTCGGTTTTTGCGCTTTTCTTGTGGTTCAGCCATTGCGTGGTCTTGTACTGTGATAGATTCTACACCTGACTACTCTACTCTATTGCACGTACTGCAGCCTCCTAAAATCTGGCAAATACCAACCTTGTCAGAATTAAGGTAATTCTCGTAAATGTTATTTTTTTTATGTTTTGGCAAAAACATAGTTATTTCATTAATTTTTTGTTGAAGATAATTTTTTTATTTCGTATATAGAAGAGATTACTTGATGGGATTGGGCAAAACTTAGAATATACTTGTTGGGACCCCACGGGTTTCATTTTACCCGAAGAGACCCCATTGAATGCCCTGCAGCCCCACCGTTTTTTTAATTTACTATATAGAAGATAAAATTCACGAGAATTAAGGTAATTCTTGTAAATTTTATTTTTTTATGTTTAGGCACTAACATTGTTATTATATTAAGTTTTTGTTGACAATAGTTTTTATTATTTCGTATAAAGAAGAGATTACTTGATGGGATGAAGGAAACTTAAAACACTTGATGGGACTCAACGGGTTTCATTTTACCCGAAGAAACCCCATCGAATGCCCTGCAATCCCATCGTTAGTGATGTTCCAATACTATCTAGATTATCAAGTCAAGGCAAGATCATATAGGGAGTAATTCAGACTCATGGTGCATGTAGTTTTCTTAGATATGGCTGCGAACTAAAAGCCAAAATCCTCTAGCCCGACAGTGGCGGACATTCCCCACTCTAAAAAGCAAATCAGTAGGTTATAAGAAAATGGCTTACAATGGCCGATGAATGGGTCCCATCTAGTAAATTGAAACATGATGGGTCCCGTCAAGATGGTTAAGTTTCCAAGGGGTTCCATCAAGTAATTTCCTCTCTTATGTGTGACACTTGTCAAGGAAAGGCTATTGCGGGTATATCATAATCTCATTTGATGGAGAAATCATATTCAAACCAGATGATATTTGGAACCGTTGGGAAAAAAAATGTAACTGAACTTTATAATCTAGCCAAGAAAATAATCACAATGATAAATAAAAACATGACATAAAAAATAGATATGTAAATGCTTGTGAAAAATAAAATAAAAATGTATTTGGATCTTTATGTTCAAGCCAAGAAAATATTCACAATGATCAAAACAAATATATCATAAAATGATATGAAAATAATAATAATTTGTTTTAACTTCTTACCGTTTTTGTATCTTTATGTTTCAAGCCAAGAAAATACTCACAATGATCCAAAAAAACATGATACAATAATAAATTGAATGTAATAAATTGGAAAAAAATATGAAATATAAACCAAATGTATTTTTTTAACTTTTTAGTACTCAACTTGCTTTCTACTATTGAGTATTTTTCTTCCTTCTTCTATTTTTTTCAAGCGCAACTTTCACTCCACTGATGAGTTAGTATAGTCAAGAATTTGGACACCTTTTCACAACTTAGAAGCACAATGAGATTCAAGATCCACAATTCACTCGCAAATTCAAAGTAATTCACTCACAAGCTTTTTCGGTAGCACACACCCCTACTTTAACTCTCCCCGGCAAAAATTCCATGTAATGTATAGAATTTTGGCCAGGTTAATTCTGGCAGAACGCAAGAATTTAGGAAGCTTGAGTTACTGGCTTCTTGGGACCTTCTCCCAAGAAAGAATTCCTTATTTGAGCCGTTATGTAAGAATGTACTATTTTGTAGTGAATTGGTGTGTGGAAACACATTTACAAAAAAAAATTGGCAGATTTTGTGAAAATTAACAT